TAGTAGCTAGTAGCTAGTAGCTAGTAGCTAGTAGCTACGAGCAGTAGCTAGTAGCTAGTAGCTACTAGTAGTAGTAGTAGTAGTAGTAGTAGTAGTGGTGGTAGTAGTAGCAGCAGTGGTAGTAGTAGTAAGGCCAAGGCTCACTGTGCCACGGGATTGGGTGGCGACTGAGTTTAAGAGGACGGCCTTGAGGTTCACGGGGGAAAAGGCAGCAAAGAACACACCCACCAGCGCCAGGATGTGAAACATGAAAGGCCAGTCCGGCCGGTCCTGGGCTGCGGGTTTCGTTTGAGGACCCCCTAAACCCATCTGAATCGACGAATCGGAAGCTCTTTCTGATCAAAAAAGCCAAAGACTTGAAAGAAAGTGCCACCTGGCGTCAGTAGAGAACAGGACAAATAGCGGCAGCATTCCGCCCCACATGGTGAGACCTGTCAGCCACGCCTGCAGCTTCTTGTCCTTCTTGTACAAATGCTGGCCTAGCTTGCCTCCAGCAATGGTGCCAATGATAAATCCAACACCCATGCAGAACAGCACACTGGTGGCCCCTGCCACGCCCATGCCATCATTCACAGCCAGATAGTCCGTGAGGAAGGTGCCAATGACGGCCCAGGGTATGCATCCAAAAACCCCTGGGCTGCTGTTGCAACGAAAAGGGGCAAGGACAACACAGCATCTTCAACTTCTTCGATTTTATTAGCAACAAGCTTCTGTAAATCCAACTAAGACTCCCTGCGAACAAATGCAAAGGACGGTTGGCTTGGTGAGTGCAGACCAGGATGAAACGTCATGGCTGAGGTGTTGGTCGTTGGATCTGGCAGGCTCTTCATGAATGAAGAACCTAGGTGTTTCATTACACTGGTAACACCATCAGAAAATGCATCCTCGGTACGACTAACTCGTCAACGAGAAAAACGAGATTATCCCGGCAACAGTAAAAGCGTGACACACCATCCAGCGATCCCGACCACAGCAAACGGAGCACGCCAACCTGCACCGGACCATAATATAATTCAGTATACTAGAACAGAAAATAGACTACAAGGAAAATTAAAAAAATATCAAAAAATATGCTACAGCACCCAGCCTGAAGCGGACCCAGCGAAACCGGCCAAAGATTGGCCCACTGGAAGACCCAGGCCGGAGATAATGCAGACCACGCCGATTGCATGAGGCCTCTCCTTGGCCATTCGGACTTTCTGCTGGTTTAGGGTTTAGGGTTTAGGGGTTTAGGGGTTTAGGGGTTTAGGGTTTTTTTAGGGGTTTAGGGTTTAGGGGGTTGCAAGGTCTTGGTTGCCGCCGCAATTTGAACTTTTGGGAGAGCCTGTAGACGGCCGCTAGATTATGGGGAAACCTGTCCCAGGGCTTACATGTCTGCTTTCCTGCGAAACGTCGTCGCAGCAGTTCTGGCTTGCTGCTGTGCTCTACAAGTTACGTCCCATGTTCTACAACCTACACAATTGGAGCAGCACCTACGGCTCGATCGTCGCAAAGCGCTTGTTGTTGCACACCCTCGTGTACACCGCTTGCTGGGAAGAAGGCAGAGACCACAGTTTCCATGTCGGGCTGCGACCCTTGAGCATGTGGCAACATCCCAAAATCATGAGCGCGCTCTCTAAGGCAGCTTAACTGCTAAGTCGCCTCTGCCGGACACATGTCGCCGATGACGGCGAAGCTCGTCGGGATGAGGCCACCCACAGCCGCGCCCACGGCAGCGCGTCCGAAGAGCAAAGAAGTGAAGCTTTCGGCTTGGGAGTTGCTGAAGGTGCCTTCGCGGCATGAAACGAAATCACATGTCTGCAGACGACCAGATCACCGTTCGACGGTGTAACCGCAATGGCAAGGATGGACATGTGGTAAGACACAGCAGCATGTAACCAGCAGCTGACAACAGCTACCAGTAGCAAATGGAACGTCACAACAACAGCTCCCACGGCAACAACGACAAGGGTGGTGCCATGTGGCAAACGTGGCATCGCAAGCACAACACAGTGGCAGCAGAAGCAAAGGCCCTGGGAGCGGTGCACCGCCTAATGGAAGCCATAAGTCAAAGAACAACAACACCGAGGATGCCTGTAGAGCCAATCAGCATGCAAAGGCAGACCAGGGTCGAGCGCTTCATGACGTCCGCAAGGCGGCCCACGATGAGTGAGGAAACCACCCCGCAGGCAAAAAACACAACGCTAACCTTGGTCACACTTCAGATTGCAATGAAGTGCAGGTTCTATGCCTGAATGCTTGTAAGCACAGTCGAGTTGCTATGCCCCCCAGCTTCTCGTCCTTCTCCGCCCCGGCAAAGCCGAATTCGTTGGCCACTGCGGACATGTTGGTGGACAGCAGAGGCTGATCAGCCAGCAAGGTCATCTGAGCTATAGCCAGAGGGAAAAGCGCGCGGTGGTGTGAAAGCTCAGATGCCAGCGCCAGTGGGGCGCTCTTGATGACCTGCAGAAGCCAATCCAGGTGGCCCTTGCTCAGGCTCGTCTCATCCACTTCCTGCCCCCGTGGGTCATTCAGTGTGGCCGCAGGAAGCACCATGGGCGCGTGCACCCTTTGCACACGTCGCCCTAGCTACTCATGAGCACATCCGCATGGCTGGGAAAACCTGTCAAGCCGAAAGGCGAGACAAACCTCCGTGCAGAGTGTGCTCAGCGAACCGATCCACAACATGAGCCCAAACCTCTACAGCCCCAAAACCCCGAAAGCTGCTCACTTTGACCAGAGCTCCTACTCCTGCTTCCATTCCCCCCACCCCCTATCCGGCAGTTTTTTTCTTTGCGAAACCTGTCAAGTCCAAAGTTCGTTCTCCAAGTGGACGCCCAATGGATGCTTAGACCATAGCTCAATAGCTCCCAGCAGCCTGCATAATCGGAACCTGACTCCCTACTGTTACTCTACAAGAGCACCCATGCGTGCGGTTGGAAATTGAGCCTTTGTTTGTACCAATTTCAAGCCCTGCTGTTGAGAATCCTGCTCCCATGCAGCACAGGGGCCTCGCTCCATCGTGCAGGTCGTCGCAGGAGCCTCCCGAGAGCACTTCCACTGGCACTTTGAAGGTGTGGGATTTTTCCAGAGTGCCCGCGAAAAAATGTGGAGCTCTTGGGTGCTCTCCCTTTTTAAGCACGGACTTGCAGTGTATGCCGGCAGCGAAGCTCGAGGGCTCTGAGAGCACCTAAACCCTAAACCCTAACCCTAAACCTTAAACTCTAAACCCTAAACCCTGCAGTCGGAGGCTCCTTTTCTCGTGTTTCTGTCTGGTTCTGTTTGACTCTGGCTCTCTGGCTCTTCTCAAGTACTGCGGCGATGCGCCAACGGGGCAGTGCAATTTGGGACTTTCCGAAAATTCGGGTACCTTATTTTGGTGTCCTTTTTTAGGGTACTATATTAGGGTCCCCTATTTTCGGAAACCCCCATTTCTGGGCATTGCAGCATAGGCTATCCTAAAACGGTCTCAGGGCAAGGCATGAGGATCTCCTTCACAGCTCCTTTCTTACAGGAGAAGAGCAGCACTGCCCAGCAGCATCGCGGACAGAGCGTTGAAGGATCCCGGCGAGCGCAACAGACCGATGGCCAAGGGCGATGCTATTCTGGCGAAGCTCGAGATGGAAGCCTCCAGCACCAAAAACCTGCTGCGCCGGCTCTCAGGTGCTGTGCTCACCACCACGCCGGGCAATGCAGCGAAAGCCAGCGCAAGCCCGAAGGCGTAGAGCGCCAAGGCAGGCGCCAGCAAGGCAGGAAACGCACCCAGAACAGCGAGAGCGGCCGCCTTGGACAGGATGCCCAAGGCACAGGTCTGCTTGACTCCCATCCACCTTTTCAGTGGCTGAACCAGGCCTATTTGGCACAGGAAGATGAAGACAGAAAGCAGAGACAGTGTGCTTCCGAGCATGGAAGTAGAGAAGTGGTACTGCCGCAGAAGCAGAAACGGGATGAACGGGTTTAGGAGGAATCTGACGGATGAGAGCACCAAAGAAACCCCGAGAGAGCGCCAAGCACTCCAACAGAGAGAGCCTTCGCCGGCTTCGGTCTGAGCCCTGTCTTCCCCCGGACCCTCCTCCTGGAGTGTCGTCGCATCCCTTTCATGGCTTTCCCTTCTTGGGAGGACCGAGATACAGATCAGGGCACCGCAAAGGCAGAGAAACGCGATGAAGCAGAAGGGGATCGACAGGCCAAAGAGGTCTGCGACTGCTCCTCCCAAGAAGGGCCCCAAAGTAAAGGCGATTTGTCCGGCGGCCTCGCCATAAGCCAAGCTGGCAGAGAGTTGATCTTTCTCAGGCAGGCTCTGGACCAAGAAAGATCGCAGGACTGGAACGATGCCACTGCCAAAGCCTGCGACGCCCCGGGCGAGAAAGATCCACTGGAGCGGCACATTCTGCAGCAAAGCGAAGCCCAAGTAAAACCATGCTGCTGCGGATATCGCTAAGCTTCCCACCAAGACGTGTGCGGTACCAGCTCGTTCACTTAGAATCGGCAAGGTTATGTTTCCCAAGAGCTGCCCGACAAAGAAGCACGATGTGAAGGCCCCGACATCCAAGCCGCGCTCAGTCAAAGCTGGGCCAAGCGGTAAGCCACAGGTGAAGCCAAGGAAACTCATGCAATAAAGGTAGTAGATGGCCAGGAGTGCTTGCACACGAACTTCCCCAGAAAGTCGTCGCTGCTGTGATTGGGCAGCACACGCCTGGAAGGGAGGAGGGCGAACATTTTTTCGGCCTCTCCACGATGCCATCGCAGCTCCACCCATCCTAGGTCACTGCACGTCAGCTCCAGAAGCACAACTAGAAACCCGTAGTAGAGACCCTTATAGAACCCCTGATGGACCCGCGCTGTGCCGAGGTATGCCGAAGTTAAAACCCGAAAAGCAAATAAACAGGGACCGCGTGACAAAGCCGCTCGCGCCAGTTCTCGGCCACTCCAGGCTCTGTGCCGGCACTCCGCCGAGTCTCGCGGTCGGCTGGCCGCTCCGGCGGGTGCCGGCGGAAGCGGCCGCCCATTGCGGACACATGTCGGCCACATTGCTGGTTTAGGGTTTTGTTTTCCGTTCCCTCTTGCTGAGGAACTATGCCCACTAGCGAGGGTTTTGCGTTTAGGTGTTTAGGGTTTAGGGTGGAGGGCTAGTCTACTCTAGAAAGTAGTGCCTGAGGTGTCGCCGATGCTGTTGGCTTCTGGGTTTCTCTTGACCTGCAGCAAGACGCAGTAGCTGGACTTATCCGCAGCAGAAAGCCGACCCGGCACCCTTGACCCGGAACTTGACCCTTGATGCAGACCGCTGATTGATACGAGTGTGTAATGATAGAGAGTGCAATGATAGGTAACCAAACTTTGAAGTTTGAGGGCAGGGGGGTTGTTAATCAGGGGTCTGCATTGTCTGGGCTTAGGATTTTGGGCTGTAGGACTGCAGCGTTTAGGCTGTAGGGCTTGCAAAAAGTTGGGAAGCCGGAACTGCAAACCCTCGAGGCCAACATTGACCTTCCGGTGGCCGCATGTTTCTTCAGATGTTTTTTTGCAATGTCCCCTTATACTCATCCTAGGGCTTTGGTGGGGGATGTTGGTTTAGGTCCTGCACCCCGGGGACTTTCGTAAGGAGGCCTTTAGGATTTCGTTTCAAAAGATGCACAAGGCACTGTCCGGCAGGGTCGAAGCTGCTGCAAAGAACCCAACACCCGTTTAGGATTTCTGTGTTTTGTGCCTCCTGCATTGCTTGCCGTGTTTGGGGTTTATAGGGTTTTAGGACTTTACGTTTAGGGGCATGTTGAGGGTTTGCAGAGTAGTAGCTCCGTCGTGTGCAGAATACCTTGATGCTTTAAACCCTTCCCTTCCCGACTTCTGCCTCCTCCAACGGCACGGGTGGCGGCGGAGGTGGAGGAGGCGGAGGCCTGCGCCACTTGCATCGGTCTGGGCATCTCTGCAATTTAAACGGAGCAGATCGCCATATCGGACAAGCTAGCGGCGAGCACAGCACATGACGAACGGGTCTGGTGCCTATGCTTGCCAAAACCAAGTACAGCACAGTTCAACAAATCTGTGGAACTCAGCAGAAAGCCACAACACTTCGCAAAGAGGTTTCGAATGGCACATGTACAACCCAGTCTACATCACTGCGCGAGGGGGCACCAAGTCTTGTGCTGGTGCCCCTGCGTCCCTACGTCTTGCACATGGTCTTTGGAGTTCTGGGTTCTTGCAAGATACTGTAAGATAACCTCGGGACCATGCACTCGACTCTACAGGTGAAGCTCCAAGACAGCAAGGAGGATCGATGCTGCGGGGAGCAGCCGGGTTTTCTGGCAGCATGTGCCGCAAAGGGCCACGATTCGACTTGACATATTATATGGCCACGAAGTGAGACTAGCAATCGAACGCTATTTCTATGTATCCACCAACGAATGGACAGTGCAAGGAGCACAGTCGAGCATGCCACAGTCGAGGATGTCCGTGTCAACACCCACTTTACTGAAGCATGCTGCAGCCCTCCTCGCTGGCTTTGTCAGCCAGGTCGGCTTGGGGGATTGTGCGGGTCAGCATTAAGCAAAAGAAGCCGGAGGGAAGCCAGAAGAGCATGCCTAGCATGAAGGATTCCTTTCTGCCCAGGTATCGGACCCAGCTGGCCACCAGCGCTGGTCCGAGGCCTTTGCCCAGGTCGTCCATGATGTTAAAGACCCCGAAGACCCGGCCTCGCGATTGGGTCGGCACGGCGTTCAGGAGGACCGCTTTCAGGTTCACAGGCGACATGGAAGCCAGAAAGACACCGAGAAACGACAAGGAATGGTACATCCAGGGCTGGCCAGAAGACCCCGCAAAAAACAGGATCAAGAAGGGCAGCATGCCTGCCCACACGGTCAGCCCCATGAGCCAAGCCTGCAGGGTCTTGTCCCGTTTGTACAAGCACTGGCCCAGTTTGCCACCAACCAGAGTGCCTGACACGCAGCCCACGCCCATACTGAACAACACGGTGGTGGCAGCTGGAACACCCATGCCGGCATCAACAGCGAGGTAGTCCGTAAAGAACGTTCCCACTATCGACCAAGGCACACACGCAAAAAGGCTTTGAAAACACCCGCAAACTACGGTTGGCCTGGAAAGTGCAGCACACCATGACGTGTTATCATGGTCAATGCGTTCACGCGCTCGCTCAGGCTCTCTCTGAATAAAGAACAGTAGAATCGCAACACACCAGCCAGTTACGCCGACAATCGCAAACGGTGCACGCCATCCAGCAGCAGTCCCAACAAAGCCAGCCAAAGCTTGGCCAATTGAAATCCCAAAGCCTGAAACGATGCCGACCACGGCAATTGCATGAGGACGTTCGTCTGCTGGATACAAGTCCCCAATGATTGCGAAGCTTGTTGGCATCAGGCCACCGGCGGCGATACCCACCGCACCACGACCGAACAACAGCGAAACAAAGCCACCAGCCTGCGAGTTGGCAAATGTGCCGCTAGATCCCACCAGCATGCACACGCAGACCAAGTTCCTGCGTTGCATGACGTCGGCAAGCCGACCGATGACCAGAGAAGCAACGGCTCCACATGCGAAGAACACGA